GTCAGAAGGACCATAATCGGCAGGCGACAGTGGTCAAAAAGATCATTGCTTGGTGACGAAAGTCGAAAGGATTGTAGTCGGCAATTGGGTGGAAGTCTGGCATCAGACGATGTTTGGGCGGAAGTCAGCGATAGTCCGGAGACGATCAGTGGTCCGATAGTGGTCGAAGAGTCTAGAAAGCTCTAATTTCTCTCTTTCTTTCTCTTCCTTGCTTCCGACCCCTCTCAATAAGGAATGAGAGGCCTATTTATAAATTTTTAAGGGTGGCATGACCACTAAATATAGAGAAGATTAAGGGCATGTTGGAAGTGTTTTTAATGGATGGTCAATATCGACTCCTTTGATCGTGGACCGTTTATTAAGTATTTGGGTGTCTTAGTGATGACAGAATTCGATGATCTTGAGCTCGTTGGATTTGTCTCGTCAAGCCACTCGATCCGACAATAAGCATGTCAGGTTTGGAAATCATTTGATAATCCAATCTATGATTTAAATCTTCCAAATGCGCTTTGGGTCTTCGATTTGTGCCCATTTAGGCTCGGATTGGGTCAAATTTGGTGTCGTTGGGTTTGACTTTTCTAGACATTCAGTTCGACTATAAGTTAGTAAAAATCAAAGTTTCAACGGTCTCAAATTTAATTTTGAAAGTTTCCAACTTAATTTTGTCTCGAGATTTGTGCTATTAACTGGTAATTATAGCTTAATAACATTAACTTGTATGGACGATGCTGATGTAATTTTAATTTCAGCTTCTTGTGAAAATGAAAGTATACTCAAACTCGATATAAAATTGTGCTATGTAAATTCAATATATTGTATATGAATTTGAGGTTATTATATGGGCTTAATGCTTATTTTTCACTTGAAATGAATTTATTCCCCAGAAAAAACTTATCATGTACCTTATGAGGCTTTCTAGCCTGCTAAGGTCTCTATACAAGCAATGACTTTTTCGTCTTTCTAATAAGTCTTTCCAAACTAGTAATGACTTTCAGATGAAACTTATCCTTTTATCATGTTAACATGTATAGAAGAGGCCGTGAGAATTCACCAAGGATATATGACATATCCGAGGTTTTTTGTCAAAATATTGCTCGATAATGTTAACCAGTGAGAAAGAGATCAAGAGAATCCACCAAGAATGAATGACCTATCCGAGGTTATTTATCAAAGTATCGCTCAATGACGTTAACCTGTGTGGAAAATATCAAGAAAATTCACCAAGGATGTACAACCTATCAGAGGTTATTTATCAGAGCATTACTCAATGATGTTAATATGTATGGAAGAAGTCGAGAAAATCCACCAAGGATGTATGACTTATCCGAGATTGTTTGTCAGAGCATTACTCGATGACATTAACATATACAAAAGAGGTCGGATCAAATCTCATGGGATTGATCATCTAGTGATTGAGACACAATAAAAGTTGTGTATCTCTCGAATCAAGAATTTAAGATTTCTTTGACATCCTCCTAGAATGTTTGACCTATCCAATGTTGTTTGTCAGAGCGTTGCTCGATAATATTCTGTGTGGATGAGGTAGAGTTGAATCCCCCTGGGATCGAGTATGACTTGATTGGGAGGGGGGGGCAACATGTATCCTAAATCAAAGGTGAAGAATGTTCAATATTTAGACAGTTATTGCTTTTTTGAGATCGAGATAAATACCTTGCTCAAGGAATATAAATCCAGTTAGGGACTGTATAAAGCTTATAATTAATTAAAAATATCTTCGCATACATTAGGAATTTCCTAAAATATTATCTTAGATGTTGAAAGTATTGAAGCAATTTTCTTGGCAATAGTTACAATCAATGTTGGCTCCAGTCCGTATCTAATTCCCATAAAATTGATGCAGAAATGGCCGATATCAGAACATTAACATAAATGACCTTTTGAGGTTGGAGCAAAAATTGCCCCCAGTCAGGAACGACGTTAGCATAAATGGCGCCAAACTATTGTGTCCTAGAATATTCGCGGCAATACAGAAATATAAAGTTTAACGTTTTAGTTTTGTATGAAGATTCATCACACAATCAGATAAAAGAGGTGTGACATAAGAGACCAGAATTTTTATGTAGAAATCCCTAAAAGGGGGAACAAGGCATGAGGCCTGACCCAGTTTGAATGAATCTAGTAGTGTTTGCAGTCGATTACAAATGAGATCCTTCATTGGGGGGAATGCCTTGACTTAATGTAGCAAATATAATCATATAGAATGCATTACATGGTGGAATTCAGAAGAATCAACATTGACAAGTTCCTTTAGTCGACAAGGTCATAATCGGCAGGCAGCTGAGGTTAAAAAAATCATAGTCGGGTGACGGTGGTCGAAAAGATCGTAATCGACGGCGATGGAGGTCAGAAAGATCATTATTAGGCGATGAAGGTCAGAAGGACCATAGTCGACAGGCGATGGAGGCCAGAAAGACCATTGTCTTGCGATGGAGGTTGGAAGAACCGTAGTCGATGGGTGATAGTGATCAGAAAGACTGTTGTCTGACGACGAAGGTCGGAAGGACCGTAATCGGCGTGCGACCGAGGTCAGAAGGACTGTAGTTGACGGGTGGTGTAGGTCAGAAGGAACATAGTTAGCTAGCGACAGTGGTCAGAAACACCGTTGTTTGGCGACGAAGGTTGGAAGGAACGTAGTCGATGGACGATGGAGGTTGGAAGGACATTAGTCGGTAGGCGACGAAGGTTGGAAGGACCGTAGTTGGCGGGTGACGAAGGTCAGAAGGACCATAGTCGGCGGGAGACGGAGGTCAGAATGACCGTAGTCGACGGGCGACAGTGATTAAAAAGACCGTTGTCTGGCAACGGAGGTTGGAAGGACCTTAGTCAGTGGGCGACAGTGGTCAAAAATACCGTTGTCTGGCGACGGAGGTTGGAAGGACCGTATTTGACAGACGACGAAGGTCAGAAAGATCGTTATCTGGCGAAAAAGTTAGAAAATTGTAGTTTGCGAGCGATGGAGGTCGGAAGGACCGTAATCAGTGGGCGACAGAGGTCGAAAAGACTGTTGTCAAGTGATGGAGGTCGGAAGGACCGTAGTCGATGGAGGTCAAAAGGATCGTAGTCGGCGGGTGACAATGGCTAGAAAGATTGTTGTTTGGCGACAGAGGTCAGAAGGATTGTATTCAGCGGGTGATGGAGGTTAGAAAGACCGTTGTCTGGCGATGGAGGTCAGAAAGATCGTAGTCGGCGAGAGATGGAGATTGAAATGATCGTAATCGGCAAGAGACGGAGGTCGAAAGACCATTATCTTGCGACGGAGATCGGAAGGACCGTTGTAAGCAAACGATAATTATCAGAAAGGAAGTTGTCTAGCGACGATGGTCGGAAAGACCATAGTCGACGGGTGACAGTGATCAGAGAGGCCGTTGCATGGTGACGGAGATTGGAAGGACCATAGTCGGCACGCGATAGTGGTCAGAAAGACTGTTGTCTGGCGACGAAGGTCAGAAAGACAATAGTCTAGTGACGGAGGTCGGAAAGACTGAGTCGACGGGTGACATAAGTCAAAAGGATTATAATCGGCGGGTGACAATGGTCAGAATGGTCATTGTCTAGTGACGAAGGTTGAAAGGATCGTAGTAGGCAATTGGGTGGAAGTCCGGCGTTAGTTGGTGGCCGGACAATTGGGTGGAAGTCCGGCGTTAGTTGGTGGCCGGACAAAAGTCCAACATCAGTCAGTGGCCGGGAAGAAGTCCGACGATAGTCCGGTGAAGGTCGATGGTCCAATAGTGGTCAAGGAGTCTAGCAGTAAGAAAGCTCTAATTTCTCTCTGTTCATTATCTTCCTTGCTTTTATCCCCTCTTAATGAAGATGAGGGGTATATTTATAATTTTCTAGGAGTCGTGTGGCCAATAAATAGGGGAAAGAATAAGGGCACGTTGGGAGCATTTTGAATGGACAGTCGATATCAACTCCTTTGATCATGAATCGTTTATTGAGTATTTGAGTGCCTTTATGATGTCAGAATTTGACGATCTTGAGCTCGTTGGATTCATCTCGTCGAGCCGCTCGATCCAACTATAAGCATGTCATGTTTGGAAACTGTTTGATCATCTAATCTATGATTTAAATCTTCCAATTGCGCTTCGAGTATTCTATTTGGGCCCATTTGGACTCGGATTGGGTCGATTTTAGTGTCTTTGGGTTTGTCTTTTCAAGACGTTCACTTCGACTATAAGTTTACAAAAATCAGAGTTCGGATGGTCCCAAATTTAATTTTGAAAATTTCTAACTTGCCGAGAGATTCGTGCCCAATCAAGATAATTTTTTTTATGATATATCAATAATTAAAACATGCGAGTGGCTTAATTTACATTCACCACAATGAATTGCTGGAGAACACTCGTAACATGTGACAGCAATCTAAAAAATGAAGGATATCAGTCAAGAATAAATTGGATGATCATTGCTAAAGGTCGATCCAATGTCCAAATTACTCCATATAAAGTGTATGTCCAAAAAAAAAACTTGTCGAGGATGATATGGCCAAATATAGATCCTATGATTTGCCAAATTACCAATAATGCCTTTGATTTTCTTCCATAAATACCCCACAATGGGGCTGAGGCAAGAAAACTCTATTATATTGCATTCTGGGCTTAAGAAAAATATTACCAAATTTCTGATTTAGCATCTAAGTTACTTCTCGAGGGACACTCCCTTTATTTGGTTGAATGTGAGCATGAGAACTGCTTGTACACTTTCTGGTACACAATATTACTGAAAGACAATTTTTTTGTTTGGTTAGTACTCTTATGTTTGAACAAAATGTCCATCGACTAATACATCCAGTGGTCTCTAAACTAACAAATGATATGTGATAATAAGACATTAACAAAAATATCAAAGATACATTAGAAATAATGGATATCTCTCCACAAGTTGCAAATAGTAAAATGGTCGTCAATAAAATATCATCATAGCTGATTTCACACAACTAATAACTTGAAACAACAATATCCTAGAGCATTATTTCGTTCTAGTTCTGAAAGCAAAGTTGGATTAAGTACCAATTAGATAGTACAACAATGAACTCAACTTTATAACAAAGGTATATATAAAACTGAACCAAACAACATTTTCTTCAAAAGATTCTGGAACATAAATCATCAGCACCCACAACCATAATCATGGATTATGAACAAATCACAAAATGACAGGCAGGCTTTAAGCAAATGTATATACAAAAGCTGTCTTTAGCATGATCAACTTAGTAAACAGATTAAAATCAAACTATGAACTCCCATATAGCAGCAAATAAAGCACAGAGCTTTTGAACGACACTGCTAGTTATTCCATACCAGGAAACAAGCAGCAGTGAGGAAGCACTTGATTATCATAAAGGGAAAACAAGCGTGTGGAATACACGGGAGGGCCTTACAGACCATCTTAAATTGATGTTGAAAAGGGAGAAGGTACACAAGAGAGAGTTTACCTTGAATCTAATGACCCATGCTTCCCAATAGCCTCTCCACAGCGGCATGGACATTTCCAGCAGTAGCAATGAGGGCTCGGATGTTCTCCTGGGTATCAAAGAAACCCATTTCCTGAAGCTGAGAAAGCTGTGTGGCATACAGCTCTTCGGGTGGCACTGCAGAAGAGTATAAACAAGTTTTTCTTTTTTCTTTTATATATATTTTTTTACTTGAACAGCACTGAAATAAAATTTTTTCTTTGATTGAATATGTGACCATTAAGTTATATAAACAATGTTACCATCAGGGTTGCTGGGAACACCATGATTAACGCCTGCCCCCAGTCCGCCAAACATCTGCATCAAATGTTCCATTCCTGCAGTGGACGGCATAACAAAAAGCGGCATTAAAAAAATGGATGTCTCTATTTCAAATCAAAATTTTATAAAGACAAATCGAGGAATGCATTCATCAACAAATACTGTTAAGCTTTCTAGAAGGCTGTTGACTGGCTAGTCTAATGCTATGGATTTTAGATAACCAGAAAGGGAAAACCACTTTCGTTTCCTTGTAAAACAAAAAAAAATGCAAGAGCTCAAGTTGATGCTTGAAATTAGAAAATTAATTATAGAAAATGACAAAATTTACTATAAGGACGTAACCAGAAACAACGTTGATTTTTTAAGAGGTACAAAAAACTCTGAAAGCCGTCCAATGTAATAAATGGATGAAAAAAAAAATCCTTCTGTAAATCCTACTTGCTATCTACAAGCGATCAAATGAGCCTGAAAAAATAAGCTAAAATATATTAGAAGAGATAAGACAGAATGCTGACGGAGACCTATGCAAGGTTTGACCTTTTTCCTTTGGTGGGGGCAGTGGCAGACATGGCTAATGCTTGAAATTTCAAATGTGCCATTGAGCAGCCAGCATTAATTATAAGCATGGTTTTGTCAACTAAAACACTTGCATTTTGATGTTATTCACTAAGGATCAGTTTCAGATATCTAACATTTTTTTGTCAGTTTAACTTGAAGCAAAGAGCTTCAGTCTGATAAAAGTGGGTGGGGCAGCAAAATACTCCTTTTTGCATGCAAAAATAATTGGTTACCCGAAGCATCCAGGGGTCTAGAAACAGATACCCAGTTATTTCACAAGGGCATGCCATCAAGCAGCCACATCCAGCCTTTAGCATTAATCACTACATCAACAACATCAAGCCTTTGTCCCACTACGTGGGGTCGGCTACATGAATCCCTTTTCGCCATTGTCCTTTTAAAAGTCAAATTCTCATTTAAATCTAATAAAGAAAGATCATTTCTAATATTTTCTAACAAAATCTTTTTAGGTCTATCTTTACCTTTCTTAACATAAGCCAAATCTAATACCTCAACTTTCCTAACCGGGTCATTGGAACCCTCCGTTTAAGGCGACCAAACCATCTAAGGCGACTCTCTGTAATCTTATCTTCCACTGGAGCTACTCCAACCTTTCATGTATATGCTCATTTTGCATCCTATCTCTAAGGGTAAAGCCACTCATCCACCTGAGCATCCTCATCTTTGCAACATTTAACTTAGTATTATGCTTCTCTTTTAATGGTCAACATTCGACATCATAAAGCATGGCAGATCTCACCACCATCTTATAGAATTTTCCCTTAAGTTCGAGGGGGACTTTTCTATCGCACAACAAGCTCGATGCATTCCTTCACTTCAACCATCCAACTTGAATTATGCTGATAATATCCCTACATATTTCACCATCACTCTGAACAATAGAACCAAGATATCTTAAGCGTGACTCTTATTAATTACTTGATCGCCCAAAGTCACAATCCTCTCACTAGATCTATTGCTACTAAAATTACACTCCATAAATTCAGTTTTAGATCTACTCAAGGGAAAACCTTTGGACTCTAACGTTGACCTCCATAATTCAAGTTTACCTTTAACTCCCTCTTTAGTCTTATCAACAAGAAGAATATCATCAGCAAAAAGCATACACCGGTACATCCTCTTGCAAATGTTTAGTGATAAAATCCATGACTAAAGCAAAAAAGATACGGGCTTCAGGCTAGTCCTTGATGTAATCCAATCAAAATAGGAAAATACTTTGTCAAACCACCTTGTGTTTAAACACAAGTAATAGCTCATGCATACATATCTTTAATGATTTGAATATAAGCATTATTAACTATTTTCTTTTCAAGACCTCTCCATAGCACTTCTCTTAGAACTTTATCATATGTTTTCTCTAAATTAATATATATCATATGTAGATCTCCCTTATTCTCTCCAATTTTCTCCATCAAATCTCTCAATAAATGTATAGCTTCCATAATATACCTACTGGCATGAATCCAAATTGATTTTGAGAAACATTAGTATCACATCGTAACCTATACTCCATAACTCTCTCCCATATTCTCAATTTAGTTCATCAATTATGCAAAATTGTTCCCAAATGATCATTTAGAATCAAATTGAGATCAACTTTGTATAATTAAAGGACTAAATTATGATCAATTTTGTATCTCCATTTTTATCAATCTATACATAAAGGATTATTTGTGATCAATTTTTTATAGTTGTGAGGTTAAATTGGAGAAATGTGATACTCTAAGGCTAAATTTTTACTTATTTCCCATGAGCATAGATTCTCTCACTCTATTTAAGTAATCATCAATGAGTGACAGCATAACTCCACCTCTTGAAAACACCTTGTCAGACCTATAGAAGTCCAAATGTATGTAGTCAAGAGTTTGTATTCCTGTGCTAAACATCTATTAGCTTGTCTTTCTAAGAAAACAACATTCATCGAATTTCAGAGTGTCAATCTTTGTTAAGACAGAACATACCCCTTTGACTCAAGATGATTATATTTTTTGGACTTATATGACTAATGTTCTCAAAAGATTTCCTAGGCTTCTGTTAACGACTTCAGTCTGACCATCGGTCTGTGGGTGGAAGGTTGTGGAAAACTGCAATTTCGTACCCATCTAAAACCATAATGTTTTCCAAAAGTAACTAGTGAACTTAACATCCCGATCAGAGACAATAGTCTTTGGTAGTCCATGAAGTCTCACAATTTCGTTAAAATAGAGCATAGCAACCCGGGAGGCATCAAAGGTTTTGGCACAGGGGAGAAAATGGGCCATCTTTGAAAATCTATCAACGACAACACAAACAGAATCGTGTTTTCTCAATGTCTTAGGCAAACCCAATACAAAGTCCATACTTAAATCTTGCCAAGGGCAATTGGGCACGGGGAGTGGTGTGTAGAGACCCGTATTTTGCTTACGTTGTTTGGCCAATTGACAGGTGTGACACCTCCGTAAGAGTTTGTCGACGTCACGTTTGAGGGTGGGCCAATAAAATCGATTTTCTAGTGCAGCAATAGTCTTGGCTTGTCCGAAGTGGCCAGCTAAACCTCCGGCATGTAACTCCCAAACTAGAAATTCTCGTAGTGAAGTGTTGGGAATACAAAGTTTTTGCGACTTGAACAGATAACCATCTTCTATGAGAAAATCATTTATAACTCGATCTTCCCCGTTAGCCAGTAGGGAATAGGTTTCTTAGAAATCAGGGCAGTCCAAGTAACCTTCCTCAAGGCGTTCAAATCCGGTAACCTCAGCTCTCATTCCTTGAGTAATCATCAGCCTTCTACTAAGGGCATCCGCAGCTTTATTCTCAGATCCAGCCTTATGTCTAATCGTGTAGGTGTACTCTTGTAAGAACTCAACCCAACGACCACGGCGGGCATTGAGTTTCTTCTGAGAGTTGATGTATCTTAAGGCCTCGTGATCCGAGAATATCACAAATTCTTGTGGCAATAAGTAATGTCTCTAGTATCTGAGGGACTGGATGACAGCATAGAATTCTTTGTCATGGGTGGAGTACCTTTGACGAATATCGTTTAACTTTTCGCTAAAATATGCCACAGGGTGTCCTTCTTGGGATAAAACTCCTATACCAATCCCTGATGCGTCGCAGGTTACTTCAAATACTTTAGAAAAATCAGGGAGGCGCATAACAGGGGATTCAACCATTTTTCTTTTAATGTCCTCGAAGGCTTTAGTGGCAGCTACTGTCCAATGAAATTCACCTTTCTTGAGGCAGTCAGTTATAGGTGCTACTATAGTGCTAAAGTTCCTAATAAACCTCCTATAGAAAGTGGCCAATCCGTGAAAACTCCGAACATCTCTAATATTTTTAGGCTTTGGCCACTCATTAATTGCTCTAACCTTTTCAGGGTCAGCGGAAATCCCTCGAGATGAAATTATGAATCCTAGAAAGGTAACACTATCAGTGAGAAACACACATTTTTGGGGATTGGCATATAACTGTTCTTTTCTTAGAATCTCACGGATTTGCTTCAGATGTTTCAGATGTTGATCCACTGAGTTACTATAGATCAAAATATCATCAAAGTAAATGACTACGAACTTCCCTAGGAAAGGTCGAAGGACTTGGGTCATTATTCGCATGAAGGTGCTAGGAGCGTTGCTAAGACCAAATGGCATAACCATCCATTCATACAACCCATCTTTCATCTTAAATGCTGTCTTCCACTCATCCCCGGGGCGGATTCGGATTTGGTGATATCCGCTTTTAAGGTCAATCTTTGAGAACAGCGTTGCTCCAGTCATCATGTCATCTAATCGTGGGATCGAAAAACGATACTTCACAGTAATCTTGTTGATAGCACGACTATCAACACACATCCTCCAAGAGCCGTCCTTTTTCGGAGTTAAAAGGGCGGGAACTGCGCACGGGCTAAGGCTTTCTCTGATAAATCCGCACTGTAAGAGCTCATCTACTTGCCTTTTCAGTTCTGTGTGCTCTGTTGGATTCATCCGGTAGTGAGGGAGGTTTGGTAGGGAAGCTCCTGGCACTAAGTCAATCACGTGTTGAATATCTCTAAGGGGTGGAAGTTGGTCAGGCAAATCTTCGGGAAAAACATCAGCGAAAGTTTCTAAAATAGGCTTAATCTCATCAGGGACAGGCTCCCCTTGATCATTCTTAACTTCCCTAGCTATTAGGGCGTACATAGGGGATCCTTGGTGAAAGTCCATATCCATTTCTTTCGCCGTCACGAGGTGTAGGTCCTTATTGTTCTTAGGTGGGGTAGTCTTAGAGTCACCCTTGTCGGTCTTAGGTTGAGAGGGGATCAATTTAATTTTCTTTCCATTGTGTTCAAACACGCAGGTGTTTGTTCTCCCATAAATATGAACGTCGTTGTCAAACAACCAAGGGCGGCCTAGAATAATTTGGCCCACATCCATTGTCAAAACGTCACACCAAATCTTCTCTTGATATCCATTAAATTCGAGAGGGATAAGGCTTCTATCCTTGATTTCTATGGAGGTCGAGT